CTAAAATCAACTCTTAAAAAGATACATAATTAAATAGGAAGAAAAATATGACATTTTTCCAATTTTTTAACATATTGTGCCGCCAAAAGTTAAGCCCACGTTTTTTTTATGCGCATAGAAAAATTTTCATTTCTAGTGATATTTGAAAGCCAAAAAGCCAAAAATCTCCGTGGATATACGATTCACCCAAATATGGCTTTTTGAAACAGATACCGTCTGGACTATAAAGCTTTTCCTCAGATCTTATTGTTAGATACAAATTTTCTAATAATAATTCTAATGTTATTTATAAGTTAACCTACCACTTTCTTCGGTGTCAGCTCTAGATACGCCACCAGTACTTGCCCAAGGAGAAAGAGACCGCTGAATTGTGGGACAGTTGTCATTATTCTGGACCGCGTTTGCATCATTATTGTACAGTTGTCTTAGCAATTCGTTCCTTTCGTCGTCATTTTTCCCACATAAAAGTGCACAGACATTTTCACCAATTAGGCATGTCACTGAAAAATTAAGAAATAATCAATAATCAAAATCTTGGTGCATCTTCTTCAATAAATAACCGGGATAGAATCATTTTTGAATTAACCAATCAGGCTCAGCAAAAAAGTTGCCGCGAAGAAGTAGTACCTAATAAAAATGTACACAATTTCAAAAATGTTTTCTATGGAATGATTTTTTCTATGATATATGTTGCCATCAAAGGCCATAACCATGAGGATGGTTTCTGCTTTATTTCGCAATAAGAAAGCGATTGATATTAAAACATTATTTCTAAACGATAAAGTTGCATTATAACTTTTTCATTCAAAATGGCCTCAGGGACTTGTTCCTTAAGGGCACCATATTCTTTAAATAGTGCTTTCCACAAAAACAAATAATTTCAAACATTTAATAACTGAATAATCTAAAGCTTATCAAATAATAGGAATATGTCATACCATCTGGGTATTTTCAAAGACGACGCAGTAAAACGAATAAACAGGTGCAAAAAACGATCAAACCATCAAGGTTTTAGGTACTGAAATCTACGAAAATACTAACTTTTTTATATATAACTCCACATGTAAATATTCTTATAACATTTACTTGCTTAGTCCTACATATAAAATTGTTTACTTTTATTTATAAGTACGTGAAANATACACAGAGCTCGTAAAGTTTGGAATAAATTCGAAAAATCGTTATTGAAGGGTTTTGACAGGAAATCCTCGGACACGTCAACTTTAGTTTATAAAATGTCACTTTTTTCAGCCATCGACTTTTATTTTGTTTCGTTTGTTTTTGATGTATGACGTCATCGGCAATTTTTTTAAATGGCAGCCCATATTTTTTTCCACGGATTTCGATAGAGCACATTTTTCTGAGTACGAATATGTCAAAAACGTATGACCTTCAAGATGGAAGTTTTCGAGATATTCGGTTCCAAAGTTTCAAGAATGCATTATACAAGCGATGACAAAATACTAATCATTTATCAAGGAAGCGCTGGAAAAATTACAGTTTTGATAGTTGAAGTTTGTTCTCGCAAGTTTGTGTTTTAAACTGTCTATTATCTCGAAAACTTCCATCTTGAAGGTCGTACGTTTTTGACATAATATTCATGCTCCGTAACTGATCATAAAAATTTCGATTCTTTCCCTTTCACTCAAACGACGGACCATTTTCAAATAAAATGAATTCTGATAGAATAATGATTAATCAACTTAAAATAAAACACAAACTTGCGAGGACAAACTTCAACTATCAAAACTGTAATTTTTCCAGCGCTTCCTTGATAAATGATTAGTATTTTGTCATCGCTTGTATAATGCATTCTTGAAACTTTGGAACCGAATATCTCGAAAACTTCCATCTTGAAGGTCATACGTTTTTGACATATTCGTACTCAGAAAAATGTGCTCTATCGAAATCCGTGGAAAAAAATATGGGTGGCCATTTAAAAAAATTGCCGATGACGTCATAGATCAAAAACAAACAAAACAAAAAAAAAGTCGATGGCTGAAAAAAGTGACATTTTATAAACTAAAGTTGACGTGTCGGGGGATTTTCTGTCAAAACCCTTCAGTAACGATTTTTCGAATTTATTCCAAACTTTACGAGCTCAGTGTATAACTCCACATGTAAATATTCTTATAACATTTACTTGCTTAGTCCTCATATAAAATTGTTTACTTTTATTTATAAGTACGTGAAAATTATTCGTAAAATGCAGGGTTAGGTTAACAGCAAACGCTTGTTTTACAAACGCTTTTTTTAGTTATTATTTTATTTGAGTAAATTGAAATGGTAACGATGAATAAACAGAACGTCAAGGATTTTATTTTTGTGCTTACTTTTGTTCTACACGTTTTACTTTTCAAGATTTCAGTACCTAAAAACGTCAGAAATTTCGCTATTTCTCGGCCAGGGATATGGTCACCTTAAGTTTGTCCAGTACGTCATGCAACATCCTGTATATTATAATTATAATATGGGACCAGATAAATGGTTCTTAAACAGATAAGACCTTTCTAATTTTTGGGAGTTTTAGCTGAAATTAAATGCCACTGAAAATGTATTACGCGGAGGCATTTCAAAGCTTTACACTTAAAAACGTTCATGCTTAAATTGTTTACATTACATTACGTCTTTATTTTTTACAACTGTTATTGAATTGCCAAACAATCGTTGCTCGAATCAATTTTCCTGAACAATTTAAGGTCGTTAGCAAACAGTAGATATTCGTATCCTATTACAGGAGACAAGTCATTTATGAATAATGATTAATGAAAATAACAACGGACCGAGATTTGATCCTTGGAGGACTCCAGATGTGGCTAAAAAATAATCTCACTGATGACCGTTGACGTTGTAAGTAACACATACAAACGATTTTCGGAAAAAATATTATTGGTAATCGGAAAATGGTATATTAAGGAAATATATCACAAATCACTTGTACTAACGAGCGTTCAAATAAAAACGTGGTCGAAGTTGGCTCTGACACATTGGACGTAGGGCGTAGCTTATAGCGACCAACTTAACCTCATTTCTCAACGAGCTGTGTAGCAGCTGTCAGTTTCAATAACAAAGCGGCGATATAGCGCTTTGACAGATGACGTTTAAGTTCATTTTCTATACGCTACGCCCTACGTCCAAATTTTCAAAACCAACTTGACCACGTTTTTATTTGAACGCTCGTTATAACCTCCTGAAAGGAATGCATCGACTTACCAAACACCCTGTATACTAATCATACTATACTTTAGTCTGTTTTTTTAATCATACTATACTTTAGTCTGTTTCTGGTTTAGGAAACTTTTCACATTTTGTCAGTCTGTTATTAATGATGAAAATGGTAGACTGTGTTTTTTATTTTCTATTTTATGAGTATCGAAAAAAATGTGTATAAATATATTGCATATGTTTGTAGTAACAAAACCAACTTAACAAAAAATAAAATTTGACTTAAAAAATACAAACATTGCGTGAAAAGTTTCGTAGCTAGATATCAAACTTGTTCGCGTCACAGTTGAACTGCAGGAACACGAAAAATTATCCAAAGTAAATATGAAACATGCACAATCTGTTTATCAGCATTCCGATTTGGTGTTAGCAATCAATAAAACTGATTAGCACATAGTACAGAGTCATGAGATATGAATTTAATTGTAGTTTATATGTAATTGAAAATTATTTTTCAGCAGAAAAAACATATATTTTTAATTCTAATTTTTTTACACCAACATATGTATTTATTTATGTAGCAATAATATTTACCTATACAGGGTGGGCCACCAGTAACGCCTCGGTCGCTAGTGACCAAACGGCAAATGTTACAGAAACCTGTTTAG